CCCATTAGTCGTCACACACACTGATGTATGTGTGAAATTTGTTCTTCGCATTTGACCCATCCCCTGGGGGAGCGGTGAGCTGCAGACACAGCTGTGCTTGGGAAACATTTGGTGGTTTAACCCCCCAATCCAACCCCTTAATGCTGAGTGTCAAGCATTTTTTTCAAAGTTTTTGGTATGACCCGACCAGGAATCGAACCCTGATCTCCCAGTCTCAGGGCAGACACTCCACCACTAGGCCACTGAGCTGCATTAAGAAAGAGTGACATCCTGTGGTCTAATTTGGGTACTGCGGTCCACGTATCAAAACAAACATGTCCACTCTCTGTTTTACAGCTACAGCTCAGCGCCAGAGGATTCTAGATGACGAGCGAAGACGAGTCATTAACTGTAAATTGATAAGTAGATCGATACATTTCACTGGATGTTGTTAACTGAAAAAGTTGCTTGAGATTTTTTAGAGACGATTGTTTTTTCTAATCATCGTTAGCATTGTTAGCTCAAAGTTAGCATGCAGCCTTCTTTACCCGATGTTAAGAGTAAAATGACAGGATGCTGTGCCAGCACATACTTGGCAACCTCGTGGGCTCATATTTGATTGGCTTTTGGAACCAGGAAGTATGGAGGCATGTAACCTACCTTCCATCATCAATAAAACTTTAGTTTTATTTCACTGTAAAATTGTTACTTATTGTACCTTTAAAGAAATAATTTGCTCGACATTACTTCACTCTCATACGACGTTCGTTTGGTCTGCTGAAATTTGAGGGCATTTGCTTATAAACATCTTTAATAAGATCCACTGAAGCATTTCAGTCATGTTGAAGTTTGAACTCTTTGTCTTTTTCAGTCATTCATTATAAATTTGATGCTGTATGGGACCGTTTTTCAGCTGCATGACCCAATCTGGGCAAGGCTTCAGCTGGATCACTCACATGACGAGGTTCGTGGTTAACTCAATGATTGCAAGATGCCCAGATTGTGTGACTGCAAAACAAATTATCAACCCACCAACACTGCAGTCCTAATCTGGAAGAGGACTCCTTGGATATTTGGACTCATCAGCCCAAAGGACATTTAAGTCTAAATGTTTAGTATTTGTTTGGATGTAACTTTGATTTCCTGAACCATGAGTTTTCGTTGAAAATCTTTCCAGGTTGACAGACAGAAAGATTTGCTTCTTTAATGTCATTTCTGACCTCTTTTCACCTTGCCCAAGTGCTAACACACACCTGTATGCACCAGAAAAGCAACTGCCAAAATGGTCACTTAATTTGTAAGAATGAGATTTAAATTAACCCCTATTTTTAATTCTAAGAACTAGTAAATCCAGACTGATTTGCATCAGATCTTGATATGTGAAAATTTGATTTTGTGAAGGCTCTAAATTTCTTATTTGAAAAATCCTTTACTGGCTTCTGCTTATGAATCTCTTCTAATCCTTTAAACACATTTTTTCCTTTATTTCTTTTCAATCTAGGAGAAAAAAAAATCACAGTGTGGATTCAATGCAGTATTCCCACAACATATTTCTGAGATATTAAGTAGGGAAGAAGACTGAGGAAATGAAAAAACAACTAAACTTGGCAGCAGTGATCCAGCTGGATTATGGTGACAAGAGAAATGTTGTCTGGTGTTTGTATTCATTGGAAAAAATGCTCTAAAACTTGTTTGTGATTGTGCAGAGGCAAAACATCTGTAACGTGAGGAAATATGGGTTTTCTGTCACAAAGATGGTGTTGGACTCAGCTGGGTCATAGCTGGGTCGCTGAGAACTTTCACCCACAGATTAAGACCTGAACGCCAGCGAGTCTGGGAGGATACCATAACATCTGCCACCTGCAGCTTCGTGCCAGAAGATGTTGTTCCCACAGAAGATGTTGTTCCCATAAATGTAGTCATAACAAGTCTTAAAACTTCCTTTCTTTATTTTAATGTTAAAGAATAATCATCATTTTGCTCATTATAAATGTGTTTTAATCAAATGAATGATTCTTATGCTTTGGGTAATTATAATGGATTAATGAATCCATACTTAATTAGATAATGTTTGAGGATGTTTGTTAGCGACCTTCACACACACACTCAAACACACCCACACACAGATTCTCACAGTAAACTCCAAAACACATTTGCTGACGCACACGTTTGCTTTGAGAAGAGAAAGGCTTTTGGTAAGTTTGAGTCTTATTGTTTCAGTTCGTGCTTGACAACGAAAGAGAGAAGACCTGAATAAACGCTAAAGGGGGGACAGAGCCGATCGGCTCGTTCCCCCCCCCCCCCCTCTCACGCTGTTCCTGCCAAGCCAGACAGAATAGCTGAATCGCAACTTCTAACGCAGGCTCATCCCGAGTCTTTTGATTTCTGAGTGAACTAAACTTAACAAACGCATCGACAAAACGCTTTTCCATCGACGTGTACCGAGGGCATCTCTGGACCGGGCCGCGGACACCTCCGTCTCTTCTGCCAGCCGCTGGTGTCACCTGGATGAACATCCTCTGGCGTCCCGGATCCAACAGGGGGTCCGATTTTCGGTGAGACAGAACACGGCAGATAGCGTTTTGATGCATCTTTTCCAACTAAACCTAAGTTTATTCAAACCATCACTTTTCACTCAGACACCTGTTTCTTCCTGAAGCAAAATCAGATGCACACACGCATTCATAACCACATCATATCACTCTCAATCTTCATCCTCCAACAGAAGGTCTATTTGAGCAAGTTTACAATATCAACTGTTAAAGATTGTCCCACAAAGTTGCCAATGTTGATTGTTATTTCCTGTTTGTCAATTTCAAAATCATTAGTTTAATTTGAAGAATTAAAACTTTTAATTGTCAAACTTGGTTTCTTCATTGAACTGAAACACAGACCCACGGATATTATCTACAGTTTATCGATGAAAACAACCTTTGAGTCTTCTTAAAACTATACAATTTGGTTATTAATTTAATAAAATTAATAACACAAATTATCATGTAGAATGGTTCCTCTTTCATAAAAGAGCATAAACCACAACGCTACAGTTTGACCAGCCAGCCAGTTCTACACATGACAAGCAAGTATTACGGTACAAATGTAAAGACCAGTCCAGATTGTTTACGAGTCGTTGTGTCCCAGAATATAAAACGTAACCAACAAGCTGCGGTGGATCTTCGAGAGGCCAAGTGAGAGTGGTATTATTGTAGCTAAACATCAGCTGGATTGCACAACACTATATAAACCACCAAGAGTGGACGAACACATCTGTCTAAAAAAGATGAGAATGAACGTGTTTGTCTCGTTTAAACAGCTGCTAAACTGCAGTCATCCCTCATTAGTTTGCAAGTATTTCATATTTCCTTTGTGGTTTTATTATATTCTTACTAACAAGTTGCTTCCCTGTCACATTGTCTCATAAAGATTTGAAAAATAAAAAAAATGCTTGTTACCTGGTCCAGACACGGGCGGTTCGGGTTTGTGGGATTTCTTTGGGTCGAGTCTGTCTTTCTCCAGCTGTTTCCGTGTGCTTCTCTGCCGGGCCTCTCTGAACATGGGCAGGGCATGAGCTAGAGACGCACAAAGTAAACAAGCATGTTCATGTTACCACAACAAGTAGGATCACATTACATGGCCAAACAAGTGAGCAGCCGGGGCGCTCCTTCATCCAAATACAAAGTTTCTCAAAGGCATATGTAAAACAGGGGGTGAGCATGCACATACAACACCTCCCTTCAAAACAAAATAATGTCAGGTTGTAAAGCACTTAATATTTCATAAACACCCATTTAACAAGATACAGACCCATTAAATCTAAACCAGCTGCATGTGCAAAGTGAGATTCTGAACTTCAGAACATTTAGGTTTTAACAAACAGGTGGTTTGTGACTTAAATGCAAAAGATTCTTGCAAAAATAAGTCACACCCGAACGAACATCTTTTTTTGGGCGAGGAACTGTTTAAATGAGTGTCTAAAAGTGCTGTAAACAGGTGTAGTCATTATTATTTGGTCCTTTTAGTCCATCTTGTTCTTGTTCTTCAAATATAAATATTCTGCCTAAAACCATCAGTGTAGCGCCCTCTTCAGGTTAGAACTCTGCACCTTTAGGTGGCATTTTTCTAACAGGAAATGTGGGTGAAGTAATTGTCTGGTAAGGGGGTGACTTGTTCTTTAAAGGTCTCATGCACTTTTTACTCCAACAAGTCTGCTGTTGCCTCTAGTCTGAAATAATGACTCGTTTTCTGTCCCAAAAAAGCTCTGGTGCTCCTGTTTCAGGGAGTAGAAGTCTGTCAGAGCAGTACGTGGTCTCAAGCCTAGGGCACGCTGCACCGTCATTTTAAATAGAAGCCATTAGTTAATGAGATTGGCTACATGGGGAGCGCCGGAACGAGGCGTTGAAGTTAGGCGGCGGTTCAATTTCAAGCGCTGCGGCTGTTTACAACATTGTGGAGTACTTTAAAACAGACATTACGACATGGAACTGCTTTACAGCACAAACCCAACCGCCGGCACAAGCCCAGCTGCAGTTTTGATAACTTTAAAGTACTACTGATCTTAAAACATTCTAATAAATAATGTACTTACCCTTTTTTAATGAATTAAGAGTCTCTCAAAACATGATGGCAAGTCTGATCACGTAAAAACAAAAGAGTTACTTTCCGCTTCCTATTCTCAAGTACTGCGTGATGTTGTGACTATCGCACGACTTTCCAGAAAGCGATCAGCGGTGCGTCCTGTGTCACCACTTGACTTCTCAAAACTGCGGCGCATCTGTCTCTGGTGTGCCCCAGGCTTTACTCATTAAGATTAAAGATATGCAAATATCTCGCCTCTGATTGGCTAACACCAATCACCAACTTCGGTCTTCTTTGTGGGGTTAAAAGTGCAACATTGATATTTTATGTCCACAAACAGCAAAAATCTCAGAATGGTTCGCCTTTTTGTGGATTTGCTGTTGCTAAAGTTAGCTTCTACAAGCTAAGAAGCGCTCTGCTCTCTCCTGGGTGAAAAAATCAAGAGTTTTTCTGCAGTCCCAAGCCAAGGTAGGAGAGTCCATGAATGCTAATTTTCCATGTGACATAGAAAAGACGATTTGTTTTCTGACCTAATCGTTTCACCACTATTTCCTTTTCTGAGACTAATGTAGTGTATAGGTGTTGATGACTATTTTCATGTCCAGCATGCAAATACAACTCCGAGTGACCAATTGTATTTCGGAAAGAACACTTACAAAGTTTCTCAGTAAATGAAACTTTTGCACATGAATCCCATCAAAATTTGCCATTCAAGTTATGCCAACAAAATAAAGGCAAGAAAATCCCAAAAGGAAAAAGAAATATATTATTAAGCGCTGAAGTCATTATGTAAACAAAATGATTTAAATAAAAATGTTACTAATAAAATAAAATGTTTATTTCTCATGATGTTACCCGTTTGCTAGAAATACTCAATTTGGGCTTCTCTCTCATGACTAATCCTGCAAATCTTCTCTGACGGGTAAAAAAGAAAGTGCAACACAGCTGTGTGTTTTATTAGTAGTAAACCAGCATCTGGAAGAAATAAGGAAGACTATTGTTTGTGTTCTTCCAAATCAGCGTCTCTGAGCTCAAGAAGAAGATGGAGGGAAATGAGCAATCAAACAAAGCTAGGCTGCTCTAATATATATACTTTATAATACAGACATGATGTCACCCAAGAACATCATGAAAAGCTGCTACAGAGCATCCAAAGAAGGAACTAAAAATCAAGGTGATTCTGCTAAAATTTGATTTCTGAACTCCTCCTAAATGAAAACATTAGACATCAAAGAAACCGATCATGTATATTGGTCTCTTATTTATGTCAAGAGCTGCATAATACATGGTTTCATTTTTTTCAGTGCATTCAAGGTTGCATCCATCTTTCTTCCTTTTTAAGCCCTCAGTTATTTTGTCTACAATCAATAGCAGATGAATTTGTCTCTCCTCTGCTTTTCCTGCTGCAGAGATATTCAATAGAACTTAAGATTCAGACAATCACTGCCGATTTTTACACTTTCATGAACACCATCATAACAAAGGGTCCCCCACACTAAATCCATGAGCGCGTGAGTGAACGGGGTGTGTGATTAGGTGTGAATGAGTGCACTCCAAGTAGAGAGACAATCAGAGTGTGAGACAGCATTGTGTTAGGACGTGGGTATGCTCTGCTCCTATCGCTGGAGGTTACAAAAAGACACTTTAGTAAAGAGCTGGGTGAAGCGGTTTTCCATTCAGGCGCTCTGTCACTGTTCAGTGTTAATTCGTTTCCTCCATGCTACATTAAGCAAAAAGGTTACTGTTAACAGATTCCCTCGCTTTTCTCAATGGGCCATCACTTGCTTCCTGTCCCGTCTAATTTTCCAGTGCCAGGGCTTCCAGTGCGTCAGTCAGCGCTTTGCTGCATGGATACGCTCACCTATTTTACACCCTGTTGGCATGGCGATTAGATCAGATGATGCGGCTGAAAAGGTTGCAGAAGCCCAGACAACAAATAGTGTCTGAACTGGGTCTCGGCAAATGAGGGGGGCAAAGGTGTGTGGGGCACGCACAAAAGAGATGACAGCCTCATGTGAGGGAGATATGATGGTTAAGGGAGGGGTGTGTGTGTGTGTGTGTGTGTGTGTGTGTGTGTGTGTGTGTGTGTGTGTGTGTGTGTGTGTGTGTGTGTGTGTGTGTGAGGTTACACCAGCAGGGGATCACACCAGCACAGCTGGGAGAGAAGCTTGTCCTTTGCGTGATTCCTGCATGACAGGAAACCACGTGGCTGTTGCGTGGTGCAGTATCGATTCAATAATCCATCAGCTAATGGGTCAGCCAACAACCCTGAACAAGCTACCGTTAAAGCATGACAGGTAGATTGGTGTGAATCTGTATATGTGTGTGTGAGAGAGGCTAAAAGGTGTACTGTAAAGCTAGCCTGGTACCACCTGTCATACGGAGAGCAGAGCGATACAAGAGAGGTGAATGAGTGGATGAAAGTGCAGGAGGGCTTAGAGAGAAAGCTCCTTTTGTCACTTATGCGATCAGTATGACCAGACTCACGTGTGATAACGTAATCCTGCGTTAGCGCCTCTGCGTGTTTTTCTTTCCGCTTGCTCTTCACCACGCACAGCTTAGCCCCCCTAAAAGAGAAACAATACCACACTTTATAACTTCATAACATAACGTTAACATAACATAAAGTTTCACATCAACTCACTTCTTTATAAAGCACATGGATACACAGATTATTCTAAATGAATAATCCACAGATTTTGGTTTGAGTAAGAACAGAAGGAAGTGAGAAACAGCTGAGAAGTAATCAGTAATCTGAGTATTTTAATACCTAAACTTTAAATTCTTTTAAATTTCAAATCAATTTCCAATGTAACTAATTTTTGGCCTAAAACTGCAAGAAAAAGGATAAAGTGAAGGCAGTTTAATGATTTAAATCATCACAAAGTAAATACATATTTTTCAGTGTCTTTAATAACCCCCACCCCAAATAAATGGTTTATTACTTATTACTTTTATATTTCAATAACTCAATAAATAAATAAGTGAACTGAGACCTGTCAAATATAAAGCTTTATATTCAGAATTCCTTCTTCATAGTTTTGACCATGGATGTATTTCAGTTCACTTCAGTTGCTTCAAAAAGGACAATTAAATGTAATACGTAACAAACAAAAAAAGAATTAATACAAAAAAATGTTTCACTTTGTACATTTAATCATTTTGATAATAAATCCAAAGTAACAAAATATTCTATATTATGTATCTATAAATGTACTTATAAAAAAATTATATTTTAAGAATGTTTTTGTTGCAAAAAGGAATAACATTCACACCGTGGCTACACAGAATGGGAATTCTGTATTTCTTGTGTTCAGATGTTCTGATTCCCAAATGCAAATAAAAGTATGCCACAGTTTTCCAATTGTTCCACATATTCCGTTTGTAGTTTTATTTTACACATACAGTGAAGATGTAAACTCTAATCCTCCAGAGCAACAATCTCAGATCCACAAATAGCTCGCACTAACTATTTATTACAATGAGTCGTTGCAGGTTTGGTGCAGTCATGTGACTTTTTATTATGAATAAAGGGTTAAAACATTCCTAAACATACCTGTGACTTTTAACTGGATCATAGTAAATCCTGGCCAGTCCATTCCCAGTTCCGGTCATTATCTGGTTAAGCTTTGGGTGCCACAGGCAGCGCACAACACTCTGGAATACACGCAGATACAAGACTCATATAACTCAACACAATGTGGTAAATCTGCTAGAGATCATGCTTTAAAATGCCAGCCCTCTGCAGGTAGTGAATATGTCTGCTGTGAATCAAATTTCTGCTACGATCGTCTTTTATAGCTTTAATACCGTAAAAGTGTGTTTCTGAGGTCAGAGGTTTTAGGTGTAGTAAGGAGAAGTCCCAGAGTGCTCTGCTGCTCTAGTTGACTATATTTGGTTGGTGGGATGAGGGCTCAGCCTGTGTGTGACAGATGGCCCAGTGCCAACAGGCAAATGTGGCCACGTTTATCCAGAGGTGGGTTTGTGCATGTGTGTGTGTGTGTGTGTGTGTGTGTGTGTGTGTGTGTGTGTGTGTGTGTGTGTGTGTGTGTGTGATAGAGTAAAGCAGAGACACAGCTGTTAGACAGTGTGTTCATTCTGTGATATGTGAGGTGCAGCAGAGCTAGAAAACCCCTCCAGCAGCTCCTTGTTTTTTTACAAACACAGTATCAGAGCTTTGTGACGGGGTCTGAGGCAGTTATATGGGGTGGGTAAGACCTTGACTGGGGCTTCCAGAGTTGGTGTATGGGGAAAGCTGCTTAACGGCCAGCTGTTCAGAATCTCACCAGGATACCAGAGGAAGAAGCCCCAATCATACACGCACACACACACACATGCACGCACACAAACACACACACACACATGCATGAAAAGATATTTAACATATGAAAAGAAAACTAACTGCTGGATTGAAACAGTAATTTATAGTAAAATTTACTTAAAGGGCTCGTTCCCTTGTCTTCCCAATAAATCTGCTGTGGTCTCCAGTCTGAATGATTGCCATGTGAGTTGTTTTCTGTAGAAAAAAGGCCATTGCACTCTTGTTTCAGGGAGTAAAAGTTTTTTCGAAAGAGTGGGGGTGTGTGAAACGACAGGATTAATGCATTAATGTTCATGGTATGTGAACATCTCGCTTCTGATTGGCTAACAGCCTTTCTTACCAAAACTCAGAAAACTGAGTTCAAAAAATTGGTTTAAAAAAAAAATTCAGCGTTGATGTGACTGATCATTTAAAAAAAAAAAGTATTACTGGTGTCTTTGTGAATGAGAGCTTTAAACAGAATTTAGGAGAGTTAAACCATTTCCACTTTCTTAGACTTGTAAGCTGGCAAGAATAACATCTCAAAACTGTGTATGAAGGGCTTTAAGATGACAAATGAAAGATTGAGGTGCTCATTATGCCTGAAAACTGCTTAAATCAACCACAGCAATGCCAACCCAAATAAAAACCTCCACGAGTTTTACCGACAGCTAATGTTCAGCACCAGACACTTCAAGACTCCAACAGGTATTCTTCGTACATCAAAATGCTCACAACTCGCTTGGTTGGACCTATTTGTTACGCAAATGTTCATAATGTACTGGTCAGTCAGTTCATTTCCAATTTCCTGTGAGACAATTATTCTTCCGGCTCTTGGAGAGTACAGACACTTTTTTCTCCTCTCTCTCTCTGCTCTTCCCAAGGCTCTTTGTCCTGTCTGCCTGTGCACGGCGCTTCTCTGCATTTTTTCTGGAAACTGGAAATTATTAAACATGGATCTGGTCAGTTGGTCTTTCAACGCGATTAACAAAATCTTTTCAACGATGAGAACGGGAGAAGGGGCTCCCGGATGCCCCTCTGGGACAGAGCCAGCTGGGTATATCATGGACTCCTGGAAACAGTGGAACTTGATCTGCCTCTCTCAACTGTCTGTAGAGGATTCTGAAGATGTCAGGATATTCGTCGTGTTGGTGTCGGGATTCCTGCTGTTTGGCCTGGCATACCGGAAAATTAACAAGCTTTCGAGGAATATTGGCTTAATCCCAGAACTCAGGGATGGAATGCACCGTGCTGTAAACTCATAGACTCATATAATTGTCGAGATGAGTCGTAAGCTTGGAACTTTGGCTGAGATTCAGGCTCTGGCACAGAAGGTTGATTCGATCAAGGAGAGAGTGGACAGATTAGCATGGATTGGAATAGTTTGATAATGCCATTATTGGACCTGGAGGGGTTGAAGACCGACAGAACTCTAAGGCAGAGAGGAAAATATCTCTGCCTGTACCCAAAACAATTCTCGCTATCTGAATCTGGTTCCCTTGAAGCCTGTGAGGCTGAAGTGTAAACTCCCCTCAGAAGAAATGTGGAATGCTGATATCGCTATGGAAACTCTTTCTCCCTATCCCAGTCTGGGTGGGACTGTGACCGGTGAAGGCCGTGAAACCGTCTCTAGGAGTCAATGTGCTCTCTAACCCTATAATCTCCCTCCCCTGTCCAAACGTAGGTGGTGAGCGCTGCTCTTGCGGGCTGCGCAGTCTGAAGTGAGGAGAGTCCCAGAACCTTCCATCCCCACCTAGTGGAGACTTACGTTGTGTATCGTCTGAAGTCTGTGTGCATTTCTGTCTGAGGTGTTTTTTTGCATAGCAAAGCTACCCTCTCTGTTGAGGGTAACTCTGAAGTGCCTTTTTCCCCTCCCCCTGGCTCTATCCTCATATAAACCCTCTTGATCTATTAAGGTAGCGCGACTCGTGTTGCGAATGACCACAGTCACCAATTCTTGTCATGTGTATGTATGTATGTCTGATCTTGGAATTGTGTACTGAAACAACTGAATTTCCCTCTGAGATTAATAAAGTATTTTTGATTGATTGATTGATTGATTGATTGATTTGATTTATCTGCTAGATGAAGCATTTCATAGAAAAACTGGCAAATTAGCTTATAATATTTTACTCATATCAAAAGCACTTGGAAATGCATATAGTCCAAAAAATACATGATAAATGACCCACACTTGTATAGCGCCTTTCAGAGTCAGATGACTCCAAAGCGCTTTACACTAGTGTATCATTCATCCATTCACACACAGGCGGTGATGAGCTACAATGTAGCCACAGCTGCCGTGGGGCACACTGATAGAGGAGAGGCTGCCGAGCACAGGTGCCACCATGTCCCTCGACCAAGGTGGGTTAAGCGTCTTGCCCAAGGACACAACAGCAGAATTCTCCGTCCAGAGCCAGGATCGAACCTACAATCTCCTGATTGGTTGGACAACCCGCTCAAGCTCCTGAGTTACTGCTGCCCCGAACATGTGCAATTGTAATTAGGATAATGTTCTAAATACTACAAGTATATGTTAAAGATGGTGTTTTTGAAAGTTTGTTGTATTTCACCAAAGAAAGAAGCCTGGACCATGAGGAGTTTAAGACAATAACACACAGCAGCCTACTGCAGAAGGCAATACTAAAATAATAGTACACACACCGCCAGGTTTTTTTTAACAGCGGTCCAGTTGAGTTCACAAGATAGCCAGCACAGACCCAAACAAATCATTCTGTCAACAGTGGAACAAGCTTAATAACAAAAAAAAAAAGCACAACAGCAGCTCAGCTGAGTGGAGCTCACCGCAGCTGCTTTCACAGAGAAACCCACAGCCAAACACGGCTCACTCCAGGTCAATACGGGGACTGCTTTCCAATATTCTGAGTAGAATGTTTATGCTTCCAAACCCCCGGTTTACACTGCACGTCTGCTAAATTACATCATGGAAGGGGAAACCTTCATCAGTAGCTGGACTCAAGCTCTTATGTTGCATTGGATTAAAATACCAAAATCTGACAGAAGGATATAAAAAACAAGTCTGTGGCATCTCGCAACTCGCTACACTAATTATGACTGAAAATTGCGGACATGAGACATGACGTTAAGTTGTATTTCTTGTTTAGTGCTGGTGAGCGGAACCAAATGTGTACTGCTTCTGACAGAGTGGAGTGAACGGGCCAACTCACTGCTGCAGGGGGAAGGAAAACCCAACTACACACTCTACTGTTGGTGTCAACAATAAAGACTTGGTTGTTCCTGAAAATAAGAGATCTATCGCTTGGCTCATTACAAAACAAATATTACTTCTTTTAAAGTGTCAATACACTGGTTTTAATCAGGAGATTTGCTGTGGACTCTAGTATGAACAAATTTCTTGTGAGTCGTTTTCTGTGGGAGAGGTTTGACAGGGGAGTGGGGATGACGACAGGATTCAGAGTCACACCCCAGTTTCACACTGAAGGCATCAGCGGCGGCCTAACCCTAACCCTAACTAACGGCCCTGCTTCAAATAGAATCCATTACAGTCTGTGGACTCCTTTAAACCAGCAGCGACGCGGCTATTTCCAGGCCCAGAAGCCGCTAGCCACTAGCCGCGCTGCGCCTCTAAAGATAGGATCCGGTTCTATTTTTGCCGCGAGCCGCTTCTGGGACACATCAATTTCCGCAGTTAACATAGGGTAAGACAGGAAATCACACACTGTTTCAGAGAAAAATCCCTGGTAATTTTCTAAATAAAAGTACTGCAGCGATGCATTTTCATATATATGAAGCTTATGTGTGATCCAACGGTTTATTTACTCACAGCATCGTTCCAGAAGTGCAGCAGCGTGTTTTTTTCATGGTTTTATTCCTGGCAGTGGAGAGGAACAACATCATATATGACATCAAACAGCGATATCAAACGTACGTGATTTCCTTCTTTTTGGTTTAATGGCGGATTGCATAAACAAACTGTGCGCTGAAGTCTCGAGGGATTGTGAGATCTCGCGAGTCCAGCGAAAAGCACAGCGAGGAAGCGTGCTGCTGCCAAGACTCTCCCGGTGTGAAAAGGACCGCTTTGAAGTTCGCGAGTAAACCGTTCCGCCGCCGTTTTGCGCTGCAGATGCTTCCAGTGTGTAACCAGGTTACTCATCAGATCAGAGAACATCTCTGATGGATCATTGAAACAATGTCCGTATCATGGACTTCATGCAAACTGTCAACAGACTGCTGTTTGCAGTTTTCAGGAAATGTTTTTAATTTCACATGTTTTCTCAATCACTGCATCGTAGGGTGATGTGGCACAGGAGTTAAGTGCTCACCCTGTAATCAGAAGGTTGCAGGTTTGAGCCTCGCTCAGTCTGTCGCTGTCTTT